TGGAACGAATTTACAGAAAATTAATTAACGAACGAACGGAGACGTAACAATATATACAAGTAGGTTATACTGGATCCGGGGTGGGAACTAAAAAAAAAAAACGCATATATATAAAAAATATGAGTGCCATAAAAATATTTGCGCACCATTGATTTAAAATTATCAGGAATCCACTACACACCCATCTCTCTGTTCCGAGAAAAACCGTTATTTTTAATTACACACAAAATGATAAATTAAAACAAAAGCGACAAGAAGAAGAACCACTAAAATGTTCAAATACATACTCAGAAAACAGTATCACCTTTGATACTGAAATACTTACACAAACTCATGAAAAACATAAAGAAACAAATGGATTCACTTTAGTCATAAAAAAAAACATCACACAATACTGAAGAACAAAACATTAACTTGTAATCACAAGATAACAGAAAACCATCACAAGTTCACAAACACCTAAACATTCAGTCATAATTAATTAGTGCTTACCAAAAATATATAAAGAACCACACCTACGGGTTGAAATTCGTCATAGTAAAACTTGCAGGAATAAAACGTCTAGCTAAGGGCGGTGTATTAGTAAGAAGTGTTATGTATCTGCTCGTTTGATAATTTCCTTAATTTCCGGTATAAATTCTTTCTGAGGAACTTCAGTGATACAAGTCCTTTCTTAATTAAAGCTAGTTTATTCTTTCTCGATACAACTTTGTAATACACAGAATTTCCATAGTCACTTTAAACGTAACAACTTTTATAACACACGCATAAATCACAGTGGTTCACACACACTTTACTTATGGTGCCTACTGTTTGCTTGACTCAGTTATCTATATCTTCAATCTATCTGCATATCTATCTATCGCTGTCTTTAATTGCTAAGCTTATATGCTAAAAAAGAGGGCGCCTGGCAAACACTCGAATATTCGCGAGGTTTCTCGATAAGTCATGATCCTTCTAGAAACTTCAGCGCGCATGCTCCCATGCTCGTAACAGAGGTATTGGGGCAGCTGACCTAAACAGTCTCCTCAAAGAATGGCCTCAGGATGCATTCAAATTAGGAAACATAACAGTACATCTATCAGGAGCAAAGGCAAAATTTACAGACCTTATTTGAAAAGTGATTCATTACATCATTGAAATGTACACATTAAAGAACATTTTCATTCATTCATTCTAAGGAATGTCCGCCCACTACAAGGTGTAGACCTCCGTCAAGGACATCCAAGTCTGTTTATCTGATACTTTTCTCGGCTATGTGATGCCCTCTTTCTCTATGATGTCATCATGCCATCTTCTGTGTGGTCTACCTCTTAATCTCTTTTCTCTGCCATTCTGTGATTTTTTTTCGTCCATCTGTTATCTTTTAATCGAGCGATGATTCCGGCCCATTTCCATTTTGATTCTGCAATATACTTGGAGATGTCTCTTACCTCGGCATTTCTTCTATTCTCTGAGCACAGAATTTTATCCTGGAGTTTGATTAGCATCTTTCTTTGTGTTGTCTGCATCTTGAGTTAAGATGTTTAGTGAGTGTTCAAGTTTGACATCCATATGTCAAGGTTGGTAAAACATATTGGTCGAATGCTCATCTTAGAAGAACTTACACAAAACAAAATTTCCTACACGAAAGTAGAAAAAAAAAACCTTTATAAAAGAATACAAAACAAACAAATTTGGCAAAAGTACATACATCAGAAACCCAGGATATCCAGATTGTAACATCTAATGGTAGTATTCTTTGGTGTCAAAGATTTCAAGTAGAAGAGTCAAAAACGCCACCCGTAGTTGTAACGCAACGTTACAATTGTCAACGTTATTGGTATGTTGCAGGAGCTTGTAAATCTCTCCCATGATGTGTGGGATGTGGTGGGTATCAATATATTTCATAATGTAAAAACGGAAAAGAAAACCCTCTATCCTCTAATTGGCCTACTGCAAATTACAAAGGATGTCAGAGATACAAGGTCATAAAACAAAGTATTTACAACACATAACAATATCAAAACCACTGAAACAAACCAGGCACAAAAACCAGTTATTAAAAGTCACACCCACACCAATGTCAGAACCAACAACTTAATCTACTCAGAAAGCACAATCTATGTAGCTGCAGTTTGTTCACAACATAAAAAGAAAAAAAGTCCGAATAAACAAACACCTTTATGTGAGAAAAGAACAATAGAACATTTGAATAAAATTATAAATCAAACCCATGAAGAGACAATAAAAATCCAGAATTCTGACACAACAAAAACTGCAATTAACCCTGCTATAGAAAAATTATAATATATAGTTAAGTGCATAAGTGACAAAGATATCAAAATTACCTATTATAGAAACAGTCAAGAATACTATTGTATAACTTATTCAAGAATATCAAAATCCACAAAAGCAGCAAGACAGCATTACCTTGATCTTTGAAATAGTTAATAAACATTTTAGTCCAATAATTCCACACATAATTCAAATGTCCATGAAATCATTATTCATATAACTTTAGCATAAAACACAACATATATCCAATCATCTATTATTTGAAATTACCACATTACCAGGATTAACCTATTGAATGTGTATTTATAAGGCATTTCATGTGAATTGCGCACTTAATATATTTATCTTCTGAAAAGCGAAGAATTACCAGTGAACTGTTTATGAAGTGTCATACACGACCAAATGAAGCAAAATGGTGATAAAGCACTAAACACTAGCATATTACATTCATGGACATTGGTCCTGATAAGGGAAGTAGAAATGGTGTTTACAAATTATACATTTTAGCCCTGTTTTCGTGACTTTTTCACCATCATTTGACAGTTTTAAAATACATGTAAAGGAGGAAGAAAGAGATCTAGATTGTACCTGACCATCCAAGGTTGACAAAGACCAAAATACCAACCCAGACCAGCTCGTCCAATGCTATGACATGTATAGGCCTAAAAACTGTAATAGGAACGATTAAGGATGTGGAAAAAATGTAACATATATAGTTAACTAGTTTTTAAAGAATATTTTTTGTATATTGCATATTCGTTTATAATTGTGAATAGCATGCTTGTCACAATATAATGTGGAAAGGTAAGATTGCTCAGTGCCACAAACGTAAAAAAAAAAAAATGTTATTTTCCCTAAGTTTTATTAAAGTAAATTACTACATTTGATATAATCTAAATATTTGTAATTACACATCCCAGTTTAGGTACAAAAGCATATATTATTTAGTTCTTAACAGTGCATTTAACTAATGGCTGTAGAACATTTTAGTGGCTATTACTCTCTTAGGTCGAAAACCAGCTATACTGCCCTGATATTTGAAGCAGAAGCTAACTTGTTTGTTTGTTGTTAATAGGGAGGACATCATATGGATCCTTGTTACTTCTTTTGTGTTTTTATAATAGTTCCATATCATCTCCATCCATTACTATGACATCCATTTCATTGTTAATTATTTCATTATTAATACTATGTGTAAATTTATATCATGTTTAAAATAATGATAAATAAAGTAAAACTCAATTTAATGGACTTAACTAACTACAGTGCAAGTTATGGAAATACAATAATTGTTTTAAAGGACACACTCGTTTCTAAATGTGACATTTTTGTCGTAATTTCTTCTAAGTTAATATTAACCAATTTGCCGATACCTCCTTTTCACTGGTGTATCTATTTGGCTTCATGTTACTAACCTGAAATCACATTAGGTTAAACTCAAAAACCTTCAGAGAATTTAATTTAATAATTATTGGACTAGCCCCTGTAGATGTTTGATGTGCAAATAATGTTTTATTACTTAAAGTCAAGTAAGAATGTTGAAGAGATGGCATTGATGCTGAACAGAAACAAATGATGAGAGTGGTTAAAATACATCAACAGGTTAAACGTCAGTTAGTAGAAGGCTAGGTTTTTATTATGATTAATGAGAAAGACTTGCAACAAGGATATAATGTTATGACAGTTGATATGGGTAATGAAAATGTTGTTACTTCTTTTGTGCTTTAAATAACATATTTGTATATAATAATTCAATATCATCTCTATCTATTGAGAGATAAGCAAACTTCTAAGTATTTTTTATGTGAAACCATTGCTATCACATTTGTTGTTTTTATAGATAATCTAATTTTGGATTAATTTGGAGGCCAGTGAAGCTGGAATGGTTCCTCCTGGATGGTACAAGTACCCCGGAGCACTGGACCAACGTTAAGGGGATATTTACAGGACCCACGCTTTCCAACTTCACCCCGGGTTACTGTAAGTGTATACAATCATAACCCCATGCCAGGGTCAGAGGATTAATAGGGAGGACATCATACGGATCCTAGGTTTTAAAGTATGATACCACACATACAGCTCCAGGCTCGACCCCT